TTGATTATATTATTTATATTTATATCATCTATACGATATTTGAATATTTGTTTTTAGATATTTCACCTAGCTATCTTCCAAATATTAGCTTTTTATATTAAAAAATTTCGTTCAGTGTATCTTGGCTTCTCTTTTTTTTTTATAAGCCATTTCAACATTTTAGCTATATCATTTTTACATTAATTATCTATTTGATTCTTGTATTTATGTATAGTATTATAAAGATTACAGTTATATAAAGCTTGATCAGAAAATTTCTTTGAAATATATTGATGCTAAGCATTTACACCAAAACTACATTCTTGAGTAAAAAACTTAATATCGTCAAGAACTTTTTAAGAAAGTAACCACAAACTTGGAGCAAACTCTTTTCGATATAGAGCAAGAATATGATTATGGGTTTTAACCAACTTATTAATTACTATACTATCATTTTTTCAATGTTTTGCATTGAGTTGCTATGAGCATCCAATCTTTTGGATTCCTTTTCTCTATGATCCACACTAACATTCTTTTTTTAGGTTGATGCTCTTTTAAATTTTCACAGACAAAATATCAGCAAACTATAGTTCTATCACTATTACGTTTTATTCGAAATTTGATTGCTTTAAACCCAACTTCTGATTCGTATCTTTTTAATATACTTTCTAAATACTTCCAATCAGTAAAAGTAGTACTGACTTGTATTATATAATCATTTCCTTCATTATATTCAGACTCTTCATCTTTATATTTACACTCTTCATCATCTTGTTGTTTATATGCTACTTGTATAACTTCTTGTTCTTGAATTAATTGTATGGATTCTTTAGTCAGATGATTAAAATTAACATTGTTGCTAGGAATTGAATCATAAGAATTCAAAGAGTTGTCGTTGGTCAAGTTATTAGAAAAGAAAAAATTATACGGTATTGAGAATATTACAAAAAAATATGATATGGTAAGTTGTTTTTTTACCTGGCTATTTTTTTTTTTGTATTATTAAAAATCATCAACATACTGTTCTGTTCTTTATTGTAAGCATGAATATATAGTTCTGAAAAAGTAAACTCTAAGAAATTATTTGATATGACTACTATCACAGGATTAATTAAAATGACTTGAATATATTAACATACAATACTGGTTTGTTTAGGTTTTTTTATAAAATGATGAACTAACAAAAGTAAGATATACGAAACTTTACTACAATAGTTAAAAAATAAAATTGTATTTATGTGCTTACAAATATTTATAAAATAATTATGCAAGTGATCTTTGTGCATAATATTTATATATTAAATATATGATTACTTGCGATATCGCAATCTATTATGATTAACAATATTCATAATATAAATAATATATATATATAATGTAATAAAAAAATTGTTATTTAATAAAAACTATATCTTTACTAAAACTTGCAAATTTGCAACTTTAAAGCTACTTGTAATTAGCTATAAAATAACTATAAAGTAACTATATA